TTATTAAAAAATACCCTGTTAAATGGTTGAATTAATCCATTTGTTTATTTTTCATTGTTTATTTTAAGTCAAATCAATATCCGCGTAATGCGAATATTTGGTGATGAACGGTGGAAGGTTTGAATTTGACGATGGAGGTACGTACTGTGGAGGATGGGAAGACGGTAAAGCATACGGATACGGAGTCTGCACCGGACCCAAGAATAGGGGCGAGTACGCCGGCGCTTATCATTACGGCTTTGAAGTAGGTGTTTTTATCATCAAAATTTGCTTTAGCGGCTTCGATAATTTATGAAACATTAGTGGCTGTTTCCTGTGCTAAATTATGGATTATCACTTGTTGACTTTTATTTTATAGAACCTGTTGAAAGTTTTTTTGCCATTTACTTTTTAATTTCTATACAATATTACCTTTTCTATCACAGACGCTGTTGTGAGAATTGGTTGATTACTACGTTTATTGATAATATTCTGGAGCAAAACATACAAAAAAAAATTACACAATCATCTTCTACATTCATTTTTGTTTACAAAATTGATAAACATTATCATCAAAAAAAAAAATAAAATAAAAAATAAAAAAAAAATAAGATTTAAATTTAGACATTTTTGCTTTTTCTTTTCTTCTCGACTTATTTTGACGCTATCTAATCCTATCTTACTCTATCTTGTCCGGCTTTTGTTTTGTAACTAATTCGTTCTTCTGCTGATACATAATTCATTGTCTTTTTGCTCGTCATCGTCTTATATTAATAGATAGTGTTAGCATCAAAAAGAACTTCGGTATAGATTTTTTTAACTGGATCAGTTGTTGATAGATGTCGATTTTCGCCTTCTAACTTTTACATTTTTTAAGCAGCAGCGGCAGTGAAGGCAGAAAAAAAAGAAGACAACAATTATGTACAGTGGAAATCAGAAAGTGCCCTAAGACTATTGATTGTATTTAGCTGAGACAAAAAATTTTTGTTCTAAGCAATTTTTTTTAAAATCTTGCAGATTTTCGTATTTGTTTAGTGATAGAACTGGTGCGTATTTTTCGAAGAATTCTTTTGCTCTGCTACTTTTTATACAAAACCTCTTTTGTATATTATGCAATTGACCAGACATTTGAAAATCAATTAAAAGGCTAAATTAGTTATGTACAACAGTTATGTACAGTGGAAATCAGAAAGATAAAAACTTTCTGTGAAATCATGAATTTAAATCAAAAAAAAAGATTTTTTAGATAGTTTTTAGCTCTAATATAAATCTCATTAAAAGCTTACCGTGCAATCAATAAGCATAAGCCTGACGTTTTTGAAACGAGTTTTTAAATACAGTTGATGGTTCCAATCACTCACATTGCCACGTTATGGTCGTAACGCCAGGACTAAACAAAACATTTCCTAGATTTTACAGTTTCTGCTTGCTTCGTAGATAAAAATCAATAGATGCCATAGTGGTTAGCACAATGTTTAAGGTATCCGGTGTCTATACTTGGCCAGCTGGTCATACCTATTCAGGCCAATGGCAGAATGGTATGCGTCATGGCTTAGGTATCGAACGGTATGGCAAATGGGTATATAGAGGCGAATGGACACAGTCGTTGAAAGGCAGGTACGGACAAAGGTTTTCAACAACGTCACAAGCAAAGTACGAGGGAACGTGGCAAAATGGTTTTCATGATGGCTTAGGCACTGAAACTTATGCAGATGGAGGTACTCACTTTTTTATTACTTCTTCACTCAGATATCGTTTTTAACATTTGCCAATAACCGCTGTAAAGGTTAATTTAAAGTTCGGTAGAAACAACAAACTACACTTCTAAGGAGAAGAAGCATTGAGATTCAATCATTAGATATGAGTAAAACTCTTTTCAATATCTTTTTTTTTTAGGTACATATCAGGGTCAGTGGCAACGAGGGGTGAGGCATGGTTACGGTATTAGAAAAAGCGCACAGTACGGTGTTGCAGCAATGTTTCGTTCACGGATGCGTAATAACATATCGCTGACATCGCTGAGGTCTGATTGTGATGATGAAGGGAATGATAACGGGAAAAAAAGTCAAGGTGACTAACTTTGGTTAATAGTAGTAATGATATCTTTATCAACTTGATAGTAGTATTAGTTAAAAGATTGTGTAAACTTTGCTGTAGTTAGATTGTATAGTTATATCATTGCTTCGCAGAAGATCAAGATGCAGGGAGAGGTGGATTTGTGTTACGAACACGCAGCGAAGTGCCAACAAAACGACGACGATCGCTGTCGGAACGATCATTAGCAGTGAAACGAACTATACTTAGCGGATTAAGGATCACAAAGCAGCGATCAACTGGTGATATTCATCAACGGGTAGTCAATAATACAGGTATGTTTGTTACTTTTATATTTCTTTAAACACTATTATTTTTTAAGTTTAGTATTTTCTTACATTTAGGAAGTTTGAGGTCTAGCGGAAGCACAATGAGTTGTATTTCTGACGACTTCGATCATCGGGTTGGAAGGGAGCAGTTCGTCGTTCCACAGGTTTTTACCTTATAAAAATCTGTTGCAGTTCACTCCAAATTATTTCATTAACAGCTGATTCAAAAAAGAAACAATTAATTAATTTTAAGGACGAACATATTGAAGCAGATACTATCGAAATTTATAAGGGCGAGTGGAAAAGTGATAAAAGGTCGGGTTTTGGAATTGGAGAAAGGAGTGATGGCCTTAAGTATGAAGGAGAATGGTTTAACAACAAGAAATGGGGTTATGGTGTCACCTCATTCAAAGATGGGACGTTGGTTTTACTTCTCTCAATTACCTCTTGAACATTTTTTATGTTTGTAAAGGTTCCCTTGTAAGATACAGGTTATTGCAGTAAAGAGGAAGGGAGATACAAAAACAATGTATTGGTTTGCTCAAGTAAAAAAAAGGGCTTGATGTTTGTTCGTTCATCCAGAATGAGAGAGAGGATCGATGATGCTGTTCGTGAAGCTCAGAAAGCTGCGGTATCAGCTGAACAAAAGGTTCACATTTATTCACAAAAATTTTGCAGGTTGCGCTGTAAACTTAATAGGGGATAATCCTACAAAGAACTTTCATTAAACTCTTCAACTTTACACTTCATAATTTGTAAAAAATCTATGTTCTTAACATTTAATTTCGTAATTATCTGTATCTGCTGAATAGTAACTTGTTTTAGGCAGACATAGCTGCATCACGTACAATAACTGCAAGAGAAAAGGCAGAGGAAGCAGAATTCGCATCAAGACAGGCTCAAGAAGATGCTAATGCTGCCCGCTTAACAGCGAAGCAGTTTTCACCAGGTTACAAGCAGCCAAGCACAGATACATTGCGTGTCAGGTCACAACCAAACCATGTATCCTTTGAGACCACATCAGTCTCAACGCCAATGAAGCAGGCTTCTGCAGAGTCTAACTTTACTGATGAATCACTGAATATGAGTCACGGTACATACTTATATACAACGCTTTCTCGCGATTATTTTTCAATTAAATTTAACATTAACTTAACGAATGAACTATTTAAGGTATGAATATTAATGGTGGGCTAAACTATATGACGCAACAAAGTCTTAGTACGCCATCACCTTCATTTATGCCTCTTTCTCAGAGCAACAGTCCATCAGTAAATACTCCAGCTCCACGTTTACGGTATAACGCCGATGAGGGCATTCCCTTAACGGCACCGCACCAACGCAGTCGCCATAATGCTATGGAACCACAACAATTTGTTCAGTTTGTTGATACACCAAGTAGTGCAGGCACAAATTTAGAAGCGAACGCTGTTCAAAGCCCGCTGAGTTCTGTAGCTCCAGGTAGCAGTAGTCCAGAAGTGACAACATCTGAGTTTAGTGAGTTAGGAGGTAATATGTTCAACAAAAACGCGGCATCATTACCTTCCACCAGCAGGAATTATTCTCCCAATATGTCGTCACCTTCTGAAAACCAGCGCCCTGTGGATTCATCGACGCCTCAAAGTTTACGGCACCCTCTTAATCCGCTAAGTCAAGTAAGCTTTGATTTATATTTTTTAATTTCTGTTGTGCTAAACGTCGCTTTTTGTGTATTAACGTGAAATTTCTATTTCTAGTACACTATGCTGGCTAATTTTTGGTAGAAAAAAAAAAGAAAAATAACATTTGACTTGCTATAGGTTTTTCTAACCTGATGAGTACAGAGCTTATCCAATGAGTTACCTACTGTCAACCTCAGACAAAGAAGACTGAGGGTCTGGAAGTGGGTGACGTGGTTAGATTTGCCTCTAAATTTGAGATATCGCTTTTGTATTTTACGCATCACTAACAAGGAACAGAAGCTTGCTGGTGACTGTTCTGTTGTTTTATAACTCGTAGCCGTAGTTTTTTTTTCAAAGTAGGAACGAATTAATATTTAGAAAGGATAATGTTCTCAAATCACTGGGAGCAAATAGTGCAGTTTGGTGATAGAAAATAATCAATTAAAAAATAACATTGCGGCTGCTAACTGCATTTGCTGCAAAGTTTAAAAAAACTGTTGAGTACACCTACACAAGTCAGTATAATTGTTTTAGTTTCCAAAAAAAAAATTTAGTGTCTTAGTTATTGCATCGCAAATAATTACACTTTAGACTTACCAGTCTCTTTGATCACAATTTTCTGCTTTTACCGGAATTTTATTCTTGTTTTTTACAAAAAGACTATTAATCGATGTTATTTGTTTTCTTCTTAGGAATTTTTATAATTATAGATTTACTCACTGATCATCGGTTCTAAAACTTAGTCTGTATGAGGCTATTTATATATAGAGATATATTTTTTTAAATTACATATAGCAGTATTTTTACGATGCTTATTTTGAATTCAGATGGTGAACACAATGCAAAGTAGTTCTCGGATGTCGCTGAGCGATGATCATTACGATCAGTATATGATGGTTGCAAATACAAATCAGTCTAAGTTACTTAGAAGAAATCGCCCATCACTAACTCGACAACCAGATGCAATTCACGACGCTGCTCAGGTAAAATCGTACAAATTGTACCGTAATGGCTTAAACAATTTGGAATATGCCAGTTGTATTACAACGGTTAACTCTTCTTCTCTGTTTTAGGCATTAAATAGGAGATCGACATTGGCGTCATCAAGGGACCGTAAAGCTGAAGTAGTTGGTCCTTCAAAGGTAGATGCCAGTGGCGACGGTAGAGGATCCTTGCCAAATCTCAATGAACTAGAAGCTTCTGAAGTTTATCTACGACGTGAAGAGGCTGCACGTCTTGCTTCGCGACAAAGACAGGAGATTCAGCGTCAGCTCGAAGAAGAAGAACTACTAAAGAGCAACCCTCTTCGCTACTTGTTTCATCCAGCTTTCAAGGTAAATAATTATATCTAATTTTTTGAGCAAAAGACTGTTTATAGACTTTAAATAAACTACTTATTCTTTTGACACGGGGCGGAGAAGTCTTATTTGAAAGAGCAGTTTATCTTTGACGTTATTTCCTGATCGATTTTTATTTAGCATTACTTGAAGTTGGGTTGTAGCTGTGTTTATTCTCATACCAGTTTTTTCAGTTTGTTAGTTTTTTAATCTGGTAGATTATCCTTTATCATATCTGTAATATTTAGGGATGTTTCATGTCTCGCCTAGTTCGCTTTGTAGAGGAAAGATGTCTTTTCTCCTTTTTTTTTGACCTATACTTACTGTCATTGTAAATTTGAATTTTCCTTTATCAATCTTTGACAGGTTTCTGCTCAATCACCTTTTACCATAACGCTATTTATTGTTTTTTATTTACTGGTATCGTTCGTGACATTTTTTCGCACTACCTTTGAGTGAGAATTTAACTGGAAGCTACGAGTCTAGAAGACCAGAAAATTTGAAGCGTGTTTCTTTTTGTTCACTTCTCCGTCTTTTATCGCTTTCTTATCTTTCTTCGTCCTTACTGAAAACAAGGACTGGAAACTTGAAGTACTTTTTCCTTACAAATTTTTCTCTTTGTATATCTTTATTGGACAAAGAACTTTCTTTTGTAGTAGAAGACAGCTTTAATAGTATCAACGTTGTACGGTTTTTTGTTTAAGGTTACAAAGTGTTTTGATACAGCTCTGTTTGATGTTTCACCTTTCACAAAGCTTCTTACCACATTTACACAAAACATTTCCCTTTCTTTTTTCCTCTTTCATCTTTTGCATCCTTATATTTTGTTTTTTAATTTCAATTTTTATTTTT